ACCTACCATCCTTGAGATAGTTTGGACCCAAGATGGAGGTAGCAAGGGATGGTGGGGGTTATGTGGTCCCCGTGGCCAGCCTCGGTTCACAAACTAGCAACTGTGTTTTCGACGCCCTGAAGTTTCCGAACGCTTTCCAGATGCGGCCCCACGTACAGCGTGTGACAGTCATCCAGCCGGGATGTCGTTTTGGTGCCTATTGCTACACAAAGTAGTCCTCCACCCTGTTGGCTAAGTCGAAGTGTGTACGTAAGACCCAAAGCCAGTCAAGTTTTTCCCGAAGAAGGCGTAACAAACACCCGTTCTCTTTTCGGCAGAAATACCGATTTCCCAACGACAAGACACGAGAAACGGTGCGGTCCTCGTCCACAATCGAAAGGCAAGTGACGGCAGGAACGATCTCTCTCTCTTAGATGCTGAAAATGGATAAGCAGAAGCTTCTGTTGATGAATTTTTAGCGCTCGGACAAAGGTTGGCTTTGAATAGCTGAGCAAAAGCACTGCAGAGTGAACAAGCTTCAAATGAATTCTTTTGTGCTCATGGTGCCAATACTGCCAAGAATCATGGGTTTATGGTTTTTTTTTTTACATCATGATGCACAACGGGGCAGAAGAAGCAGGCAGTGGTCTCCGTCCCTCGCCAGTCTTGAGGCAGAGAGTTTACACGAATTGAGTCAATAGCTGGGGCAAGATAAAATAGGTTTTAATGAGAACCCATCGACTTCCTTCTGAAATCTACTTTTTAGTAATTTGAGATCATGTCTTTTGCTAGTGAAAGGTTAACCGCATTGCAGCCTTTGAATTCACCCAGCCTTTTTTGCTGAGCGTTCCTTTCCCCTTCTTTTGTCTGCCGGAGGCAGTGATTTGTCCGCTGTTGATCTGTTCCGTTGGTTGCTAGGTATGTGTGCAGGGAAAAAAAAACCAGCATACAACACAAGTCGACCATTTCAAACAGCTATAAGAAATATTTTTTTTTAATTCTTTCTCTTACAAGTATCTCAGAGAGAGCAACTGCCAGTGAATGAGAAAGGGGTGCACGCTGGAGAACTTGTAGCTATTCTCCTCTGTATGTCTTCAGAGGAGCAAAAAAAAATGTTTTTTAACCAGTAATTCAAAACTCTTGGCTTCCCAGCAAGTAATACTGATGGGTGGGTTCTTGCTCTTCCAGCAGCTGATTTTCACGCCATCTAAAATCCAACACCGTTGGGTCAAAGCTCCAGATTTCGACCACTAGCCTGGACGGCCAAGGGTCCGTTTTGATGTCATTACCCCATTTCTTTATCTCTTTTAAAGGGTGGACTTCTCATAGAGGTGGAGAAACAGAGGACATTCATCTCAGAGATGCTATTCCGTTCAGTTCAAAGCTGACCAAAACAGAGGTCCTAATTTTCTCCTTTACTGGACTCGTCTCCTATTAAAAGCCTTCCCATCGAAGAAAACCACGGGGAATCGTTTTTATATACACGCTGTTGTTGCATTGTCAGATTCTCACGGCTTCTGAATTATTAGCCCTGTGTGAATTAATAGGGAAGCTTCCTGGTTATTTTCACGTTATAGTGCTCTCTAGCGCGCAGTTAACACCCTCTCGTTCGTTCGTCCTTGGTAGCCGGGCTAATGCATTTTTAAAAATAGCTAGAAAAACACTTTGGGCGCTAATTAGACGGCTGCTATTAAAACCAAGGCGGGGAATGAAAAAACCAAAGAAAGCTTCCTACGAGGATTCGTTGCAGCGAGGGCAGGCCGAATCGCCCGTGTTCATGCCACGGACGAGGCGTTTGCCTGCCTCTCGCACCCGGGGCCCACAGGAACCCCGCAAGGTGTTTTTTTTCCCGTCCTTTCTGCAACTCTCCTCCCCACTTGGGAGAAAAAAGAATTTCACTGAAAACTGGCAAATTAGCACTCCCTGGGGCAGCAGATATACGAGAGGATACGTGTAATTAAGATACCTCCTGGAGTTGCAATTACCTTTGAGTCACAGCAGTCTCAGCCTCTCTTTAATACTTAAAATTTTTACCCCTCCCCATCTGAAAGTGGACTTCCAGACGCTTGTATTTTTTTTTTCTGATTTTTTTTTTGAGGGGGGGAGTGTTGCTCAGTGTGAGCCCTTACCGTGTCTGACGGGTGAGGAGGTCTTTCCGTGACGTACTAAAGCCAAAGTTCATGGGATTGAAGCCTTGGTAATTTCTGAGTAGCAGAGACCGGGACACGATCCGCCAGACCTCTCCAGCTTCCCTCCGAGCTTAGCTAACAATCGTCAAAGTCGCCGTGAGCAAAAACAGATTTTCCCCACCAGTATACTGATGCACACAGTTTTTTGTGTGTGTTGCATTTGCTGGAGAATATTTTAGCCTTGAATGAGCAATCAAGAGCCGTTAACTTTACAAAACACCTCCTTCATATTTATTGATATTGACCAACCCAGCTGCCTTGTTTTTTTGAGCCCTTGTTATGCTGTTGCTGGTTGAGAGGACTGTTATGATGAGCACCTCTGCTACCAAACTTATCGATAACTCACGCCCTTCCCACCCTTGAGCTAGGGTATATTTTGTGTAGCATCTGCCCTGGTCATGAATATTCATGTCCTACCTGCATGGACCAATGAGAGTGCTGGAGAGGCGGAATCACAAGATACAGTGGTGCCTCGTATTACGACGTTAATTCATTCCAGCGGAATCGCTGTGGAACAAAAACATCGTAATGCAAAAATAAAAAAGCCAATTGAAACGCATTGAAACCCCTTCAATGTGTTCCAATTGGCTGGAAACTCACCGTCCAGCGAAGATCCTCCATAGGGCGGCCATTTCAGTGCCTGTCCAGCGAGGAATCTATCCCAGAAAACAGCGGGTGACCATTTTGTTTACCCGGCGGCCATTTTGAAACCACTGATCAGCTGTTCTAAAATCATCGTTTTGTGAAGAATCGGTTCCTGAAGCAGGGAACCAATCATCGCAAAGTGAAAAAAACCCATTCAGACCATTGTTTTGCGATTGCGATCACAAAAAGATTGTCGTAATGCGGTTTCGTCATAATGCGGGGCAATCGCAAAGCGAGGCACCACTGTATAAGAGTCTCTGCACGAGGAGTTGTTGAGATTTGAGGTTTTTGAGAGATTGTAGATTGAGAGTTAGGAGTTTGGGAAGGCGGTAGAGAACAGAAAGGAAGATTGTTATAGTTAACAACACTGTCTGAAGTTTCATTTCTTGCAATAATAAACAGATTCCATTTGGGTCTATTAAAAATGACACGTTGCCTGAACCTCTATTATTAATAATACATAATGGTCATGTAATCAACTTCTGCCCTGGGATCCGGGAGACAGGCGGGAACGTGACACCTCGTAACGCTGACGGGAGCAGGAAAAAAAAATACAGTGTCCTCACCCCCGTGGCGTCCAAGTCAGTTGCAATGCCACTGGTAATCTGCAGCCAAACAGCAACCGCCGGCGGTGGCAGCAACAGGACATGTACAGTAGCTTCTGCCCTGGGATCCGGGAAACCACCAAGAGCCAGGCGGGAACGTGACACCTCGTAACGCTGACGGGAGCAGGAAAAAAAATACAGCATCCTCACCCCCGTGGCGTCCAAGTCAGTTGCAATGCCACTGGTAATCTGCAGCCAAACAGCAACCGCCGGTTCATACTAAGGAGTCATGCATTTAACAACAGCTGATGCTTCACTAGGAAGAAAGCTTTCTCTAAGCCCCCGTCCTCACAAATGCACGGTGGGGCTGGTGGGCATTTGTGGGGACAAATCTGAACTGGCTTTGTACCGATGCAACACTACATTTCCTCCAACGAACTTTAAGTGGCTTGGATACCTTCCCTTCCCACCTCGAACGCTTCTTCCTCAAAAAAACCACCCTGCACGGTAGGACAGGCAGAGAGAAAGCATGGCAGGACTTCGGTGGGCCATTATTCACTGAAGGGCGGCGTGAGCCTTTGCCCTCCACCACATGCTAATTCTAACTGCTCCGCCATTTATTTCTCAAATCCATGAACAACATGAATCATAGAAGCCTTGAGTTGGAAGGGGCCTAAGGAGACCATTGGATCCAACCCCTCTCCGCGGTGCAGGAATCCAAATCAAAGCCGGTCTGATTGATGGTTGTCCAATTTTCTCTTGAATGGCTCCAGCGTTGGAGCGCTCCCCACCTCCCAAGGTGTCAACAAACTGGAGCAAGTCCAGAGAAGGATGATCAGGGGGCTGGAAACCAAGCCTTATGAGGAAAGGCTGAAAGAACTGGGCCTGCTTAGCCTTGAGAAAAGAAGACTGGGGGGGTGATAGGAGAGCACTTCTCAAATACTTGAAAGGTTGCCATACAAAGAAGGAGCAGCCTCTGTTCTAGAGTGCAGGGCACGTAAGAATGGTCTTAAGTTACAGGACGTCAGATTTAAGCCAAATTTCAGGAAAAACTTCTTAGCTGTTAGAGCAGTACAACAATGGAATGCATGATCTCGGGAGGTGGTGAGCGCTACAGCGCTGTGGAGGCATTCACTGAACCACTCTCTGCCCGATCTGCTTTGATTCGGATTCCTGCACTGAGCAGAGGGTTGGATCCTGCCTTGAGCAAGGAAGGGGTTGGATCTTATGGTCTTCCTAGGCCCCGTCCAACTCAATTCTTCTATGACGGCAGTGCATTTGAAACTATCAGTACCATAGGAAACCATAGGACGGAGCTGATGCCGGTTTAACCGCTCCTGCCGTGCCTTGTAAATAAACTGTCTCTATGCAACCTCTGCTTTTCCATCAGTTTTTAGACATAAATCCAAAATCTGGAATCATTAAAAAAATAAATGAATAAATCCAAATATCTGGAATCATTCAAAATGCAAACACACTCCAATGAGAGTAACAGGTTGGAAGGAAAACTCAATTAACCCCATCGCTTCTTTAAACATCTGGAATAATTCGAAATGCAAACACACTCCAATGAGAGTAATAGGTTGGAAGAACTCAATTAACCCCATCGCTTCTTTAAACACACACATACAAATGTTAAGAGTAGTTTTAAAACCATTTATTTGTTTTCGTGTGGATGCGGGCGTCTCTTCTTCCCCTTTCGGGCTGGAGGCCCCTTTCCTCCCAGTGTCCCCCCCTCTTTGATAAAACAGACCCGGCGCCGCCTTCACAAACGAGAATATAAAATCTGCCTTCCCCGTCCAGCAGCGCATCCCTTCAGAATTTAGGAAAAAAAATATATATGGGATGGAAGGACGGAGCCCCTCTTGAAAAAAACGGGGAAGTGGTTGTCAAACTCTTGAAAGAAGCCCAAGGGAGTGTAATAAAAGCAGGGCACGATGGTAAATCCGTATTAAAAAGCCGCGGTGAGTTACAGGGGGAGGAGGGGGGGCGCCCGTGATAAATAAAGAGCAAGAGCCAGAAAAATAGGTGGGGCCAGGAAAGGAGAAGGATGTGGGGCACCCTCTCCCCTGCTTGAGTGATAGGCAAACTGTGGTGTGTGTGTGTGTGTAGAAACCCCCATGGATTTGCACTGCCCCGTTGTTGGATTCTCGTGACGCAAGGGGGGGGGCAGACAAGCGACCGCAATGGGCAACTCACTCCCGAAGTTCATCGGGGGCAGCGAGCTTCGCGCGGCTGGGTTCCACGCCCCAGATCTCGCGGGCGTATTGAGCGATGGTGCGGTCACTGGAGAACTTTCCGGAACCGGCGATGTTCCTGATGACCATCTTGGTCCATTCCTTGGTATTCTGGTGGGTGGAGAGAAGGGGAGGAAAGAGAGAGGTTCAGAGGAAGACGAGGAAGATGCCGCTCCTGTTCTGCGGGGCCATATCCTCCGAGGTCCTTTTGAAGGGACTAGAGAGTGCTAAGCTGCTGTTGAGTTACAAATATCTAGGGACTTCTGCACTCTTGATGTTTCCCATCATGACATGTGTGGGAAGGAAGTGGCTGGTCATAAACAGCTGGCAAAGTCAAATGTAGGTAATTTGTGCCAAGACTTCTCTGGACAGAGCTGCGATCGCTAAAACTGGTATCAAATCACTGCCACTGTGTGGGTCACCCCATAAAAAGTCGTAGCAACCCTCCACCGCCACCCTCTTTTCTGTTATTTCTCCCCTTGCTCCTCCTGTCAGCTGACCGTCTTTTGTACAGTCATGCCCCGCTTAACGATTATAGCAACTCTCTACCGCCACCCTCTTGTTATTTCTCTCCTTCCTCCTCCTGTCCGCTGACCCTCTTTTGTACAGTCGTGCCCCGCTTAACAATTACCCCGCATTATGACGAATCCGCTTCACGATGATGTTTTTGCGATCGCAAATGCGATCGCAAAACAATGGTCTAAATGGGTTTTTTTTTCACTTTGCGAAGATCAGTTCCCTGCTTCGGGAACTGATTCTTCGCATTACGATGATCAAAACAGCTGATTGTCGGGTTTTCAAAATGGCCGCCGGGTGTTCAAAATGGCTCCCCTCTGTGCTTTGGGACGAATTCCTCGCTATACAGGCATCGAAAATGGCCACCGTATGGAGGATCTTCACTGGACGGTGAGTTTTTAGCTTATTGAAACGCATTAACCAGGTTTTAATGCAGTTCAATGGGTTTTTAAATTTCGCTTTACGTTTTCGCTCTACAGCGATTTCGCTGGAACGAATTAACGTCGTTAAGCGAGGCACCACTGTAGTTAAATCCACGCTCCTGGCCAGTTTCTCCACGATTCTGTGGCCAACCCCCCCATCTCTACTGGCATGCAAACCTCACGTTACATCTCAGCCACCCCGCCGCCACCCCGTTCACCAGGGGGATTCCTGCAGCCCTCTCACCTTGTAAAGCATGCTGACCTTCTCTTGACATTTTATGTATGCCTCGTAATCAGCAAAGACTTTGAACCTACAGAGAAGAAGGGAAGAGGAAAAGAAAAAAAGGGGGGAAAGGTCATTTTTATGCTTGAAAAGAGAGAAACATGACCTTCATAGAAGTAGAAGCCTTCTGCCCCCTACCCCAATTCAGAATGATGGGCTGCTGTATCTAAATTTTGTGCATGTTTCTGATCTACAGTAACCAAATAGATTTTATAACCTCCAAAAGTTCCTCTCATTAAGAATCCTGCTGAAATGTTGCCAACTGAAGGTTGTGTTTTCTTGAGTTAATAAGCCGACCCGAATATAAGCCAAGGCACCAAATTATGCCACAAAAACTGGGAAAACCTATTGACTCGAGTATATGCCAAGGGTAGAAAATGCAGCAGCTACTGGTAAATTTCAAAAATAAAAATAGATGCCAATAAAATTACATTAATCGAGGCATCAGTAGGTTAAATGTTCTTGAAGATACTGCCTTTCTGAGCTGCAAGACACACTTCACTGCCTGCGGAGGGAGGACTCATACCGGATGCTACGCTTATCTACTGCTCTACTGCTGCGTAACAAGATGGAGGGAGACGGAGGGTGGAGGAGGAAGGTGGGAGGAGGTTGGATACATAGAATATGCAGAAGGAGGAGGATGGGGGTGTCCTGGAAGCAGAAATGCAGCATACTTAACCCGGGTCTTCTACATGCAGGCGCCTGTAGATGAGCGGGGGAGTCCGGAGAACACCCTCACTGCAGGGGAGAACATGTAATTTTGACACTGACTCGAGTATAAGCCGAGGGGGGTGTTTTTTCAGCAAAAAAAAATTATGCTGAAAAACTAGGCTTATACTCGAGTATATACAGTAATTGTTCTCATATTAGATATTTTAAGACTATCTTCAACCTTTTATGTATTGCCTTTCCAGTGTATCTTGTCTTCTCGTGCTACGCTCACAATATAATTTTTTTATCACAATACGATAGGGTCAGGCTTAGTCGTTTTAGCTTCTAGTGAGATTTTAATTATTTCATTTTGCACAGTCCCTTCGTTCCTGGCAGCACAATCCCTGCCCCCAAAAGAAGATAGCAGCGATGGCGATGAAAACATGGAAGACTAGCCGTTTTCAAAAACATCTGGTATGGTGGGTGAGGACAGTGGTTTCCCTCCTTCCCTCCCCAGATATTCTTGGACTGCTGCTCCCAGAAATCCTGTCCAGCACAGCAAGTGATGAAGGCTTCTGGGAATTGCAGTTCAAGAACATCTAAGAGGACCCCAGTTTGAGAACCAGTTAGGAGATGCCAGAGTAGAAATTGGGGGGAATCATCTTTGCGTCTTGGTGGGGAGGTGGAATACTTCCAGCCATCAAGTCTGTACCTTAGAGTGGCAGTAATGAGTCACAAGTACAGTCGTGTCCTGCTTTACGATTGCCCCGCTTTACGACGAAACTGCATTACAACGTTTTTGCGATCGCAAAACGATGGTCTGAATAGGGTTTTTTCGCTTTGCGATGAATGGTTCCCTGCTTCGGGAACTGATTCTTCGCAAAACAACGATTTTCCTACAGCTGATTGGTGGTTTCAAAATGGCTGCCGAGTAAATAAAATGGCTCCCCGCTGTTTTCTGGGATGGATTCCTCGCAAGACAGCCACCGAAAATGGCTGCCTTATGGAGGATCTTCACTGGATGGCGAGTTTCCAGCCAATTGGAACACATTGAAGGGGTTTCAATGCGTTTCAATTGGCTTTTTATTTTCGCATTACGACGTTTTCATTCTACAGTGATTTCGCTGGAACGAATTAACGTCATAATGTGAGGCACCACTGTAACATGGTTATCTTTCATGAATTACTTTAGGGGGTATGAAATCCTATAACCACTGCAAGCTACATAGTTGTTTTATAACAAGTAATGGCTAAATTACTTAGGCCTTATCACTAGTTCCTAGTTACTTTCTAAAGTTTTTTTTAAATTGGCATTTTAAGATCACAAGGATGGGAGGAATAGCGGCTGTATTAGTTGACCCAGACACGGGACCCACCCCCTTCTCTGGCTCTTTCCTTGAATGTCAGCGTCCTCACCGGTCATGGTACATCAGCATGTTGACAATGTCCTTGAAGAGGTCAGGCTGTTTGGGGGAAAAGAAGCCGCTGCTCAGCTGGTCCATGACCTGCTTCAGTTCAGGAATATGGTCGTAGTAATCCTTGGCACAGTAGCTGTGGGGAGAAGGGGGTCCGCGGTTTTAAGAGAGAGCAAGGCAGCACCCTCCCATCCTCCCATCCACACCAAACACAGAAGAAAACACAGAGAAGCTTTTCCAACTAAGATCGGCCAGGAAGGGCGTAATTCAGGGGCAAAACTGCCTGCTTTCCCAGCAGAAGGTTGCAGAAGAAATCTACCCTGAAGCCATGGAAGGCTTCTGCCAGTCAGAGTTGACAATATGGGGCCACATAAATGAAGGGTCTGACTCCATAACGGGCAGCTATCCATGCTCCTTAATGCCTTATCACATTGTTAACGTTGCTGTGGCCAATAAGCTACACACGTCTGTTGCAAATTTCTGCATCAAGCATCTCATCTGCAAGCTGATTCCCAGGGAAACTGTGGACAGAAAGTCTGACTAACAGTATAGTAATTTTACTCAGGAGGTGCTCCGACTCGTTTACGGACCCACACTCCAAAAAAAGGACAATTGGGTGGGAAAATAAAAAAAACACGTGCAAGCCAGGAGTGAGGAAACCTGTACCCTTCTGTTCCTTGTTGGACTACAAGTTCCATTAAGCCAGATGAGTCTGGGTGTGATGGGAGTTGGAGTCAACATCTGGAGAGTCACAAGATTCCCCACCCCTGCTTTAATCACTGACAGCATCCAGGGCTTCCTTCACTTCAAATGAGTAATGTCAATCGTTTGTACACATATTCTATTCTATAATAGAACAGTGCATAATATGACATGAATATAATAAATATAATATAACATACTGTATTTTTCTGTGTATAAGATTATACTTTTATCTAAAATCTTTAGACTAAAAATTGAGGCTCGTCTTATACATGGAAGTAAGCTGAGGAGAGAACAAAAACAAGTGGAGGGGAAAGCAGGGATCAAAGCGATCCTGCAGCGCTTTGATCCCTTTTCCCCTACACTTGCTAAGCCCCACTTAGATTTCTTAATTTTGGATTAGAAAAGTGGGGGCGTCTTATACATGGGGGCGTCTTATACACGGGCACGTCTTATACACGGAAATCGCAATGCGAAGTCAAGACTTTGTACTGCTTGAGAAAAAGAACAGATGCCATACTGGCAGTGAAATCTTTCTTCGGCACTGATCAGAGGGGTTTTTTTTCTCCACAAAACCCATTTATGGTCCCCCGGGCACCCCAGGCAACCGGCCCAGCATGGTCCTACAACAGGGTTGGAAAAGCCAGAGAAAAGGCTGGCATCTGATCCCTCAGTTGCCTCCTTCCGCCCAACAGTAGGGCCGGAGATGACCATCAGCAGGCAATGAGAAAGGCAAAAAGAAGACAGGAAGGAATAGGTCTGGGTGGCCCAAAAGGAAGTGCCGCGGAGTCCTAGCACGGGTGGGGTAACTACAAATCCCATCCGACACTGACCCTTTCCTGTCAAGCTCTTCCACGTCCTCCACCCGCATGCCGAAAATGAAGAGGTTCCCTTCGCCAGCCTCCTCCGCCATCTCCACGTTGGCCCCGTCCATGGTGCCAATGGTGAGCGCCCCGTTCAGCATGAACTTCATGTTGCCCGTCCCGGAGGCCTCAGTGCCGGCTGTGGAAATCTGCTCGGAGAGGTCAGCTGCGGGAACAACTGTGGAAGAGAAAGGAAAGGCAGCTTCTTAGAGCAAGGTGGTGGTGGTGGTGGGGGGACGCGGCAGCTGCCAAGCATTCATGGGAAGATGGCCAGAGCCTTACTGACTTTTTTCCGCCAGCGAGACGCGGTAGTTCTCCAAGAAGATCATCTTGAGGCGGTCGCCAATGACTGGATCGTGGTTGACGACGTCGCCAATGGAGGTGATCAGCTTGATGATCATCTTGGCCATGTGGTAGCCGGGGGCCGCCTGGAAAAATGAGGGAGAAAAGCGCCCATGATGATGCTTTCTGCGTTCTTTCGTCTCATCGCGATTCTGCTTTTCCTCCTCCTGACTTCACCTTCACAATCGCTGTGTGAGCTAGGCTGGGGGGTGGGATGGAAGGAGGACTGGCCCAAGGACCGCCAATTCATTTTATGGTTCAAGACGGAGTAGAACCGGCAACTCACAAACCCCAGTCCGGCTCTCTAACCCCTGCTCCACGCTGCCTCTCCTGCTGAAGACCGCAAGGACAGCCAAAGGCTTATCTGCTCCAACCTTCTGCTTGCATGCTGGCCAACTAGATGGCTCTGGGATTCGAGGAAGCCGCCTCGTGCCAACCCAAACCGCCCCTCGCTTTAGCCTGGTGTTTATCAGCTCTATGCCAGCAGGAAGGGCTGTCCAGGTTTTCCAGAGAGATTCTTTTCCTAGCCCTACCTGGAATGCTCTTCCTGGCGGTCTCCCATCCATGTATGAACCACCCCTGACCCTGCTTAGCTTCTGAAATCAGACAGCATTCCGTGGGTTCAGGGCTCAATGCTCATCAGCAGGAGTGCAACAGCACCCTCCCGCTCGTCCTGCCTGCAAATGGAGTTACAAAACATACCGGCTCTACGACTGCAAAGAATTCCACCTCGTTACTTGTCAGAACGCCTGTGCCCAAGGTCATTTACCCACACTCTGCTAGATCCTCCCAAGCGGTGCTCCTCTGGGTGCCCACTCCGAAGGCGGCCGGGAACTCAATAACAAGGAGCGGGGCCTTCTTCATGGTGGCACCAACGCCCGGGGATCAGCTCCCGGTGGAGCTATGCCCTTCTAAGGCTTCTGAAGACCTTGCTTTACACAGAAGCCCTTCCAATACCACCCTACCCGATTTTTATGCCCTGCACATTGCCCTATACAGTGGCGCCCTACATAGCGATGTTAATCCATTCCGGATTAATCGTCGCTATGCAAAAACATCGCTAAACGGATCGAAAAACCCCATAGGAACGCATTAAACTTAGTTTAATGCGAGTCATTTACCCACACTCCGCTAGATCCTCTGGGTGCCCACTCCGAAGGCAGCCAGGAACTCAATGACAAGGGCCTTCTTCGTGGTGGCACCAACACCCGGGAATCAGCTCCCGGTGGAGCTATGCCCTTCTAAGGCTTCTGAAGACCTTGCTTTACACAGAAGCCCTTCCAATACCACCCTACCCGATTTTTATGCCCTGCACATTGCCCTATACAGTGGCGCCCTACATAGCGATGTTAATCCATTCCGGATTAATCGTCGCTATGCAAAAACATCGCTAAACGGATCGAAAAACCCCATAGGAACGCATTAAACTTAGTTTAATGCGTTCCTATGGGGCCCAAACTTACCGTTCAGAGAAGTTCCTCTATAGCGCCACCATTTTCGCGCCCTCGGTAAGCGAGGGCAGGACGCAAAAACACTTGCAGCGGCCATTTTGGGCACTCAGCGGCCATTATGGAACCGCCAACCAGCTGTTCTGTAAACATCGCAATGCGAAGATCGGTAAGCGTTTCACAATGCGAGTTTTTGCCTATCTAAACGTCACAATGTGATCGCTTTTGGTTGCATCTGAGTTTATCTGTTATGTCATTTCTTTGGTGTTGTTATCTTATTATTTGCTGCAAATCACCCAGAATAGTGCTTTTCACTGATGGGGCAATATACAGTTGTGCCCCGCTTTACGGTTACCCTGTTTAAAGACGAATCCGCTTGGCGGTGAGGTTTTTTTGATCGCTTTTGCGATCGCAAAACAATGGTTTGAATGAGGTTTTTCCGCTTTGCGATGATCGGTTCCCTGCTTCGGGAACTGATTCTTGCTTTACAATGATCAGAAACAGCTGATCATCGGGTTTCAAAATTGCCACTGGCTGAAGAAAATGGCCCCCCACTGTGCTTAGGGGCGTTGCATCTGATTTTATCTGTTATGTCATTTCTTTGGTGCTGTTATTATTTGCTGCAAATCACCCAGAATAATGCTTTTCACTGATGGGGCAATATACAGTCATGCCCCGCTTTACGATTACCCTGTTTAAAGAGGAATCCGCTTGACGGTGAAGTTTTTGCGATCGCAAAACAATGGTTTGAATGGGGTTTTTCCGCTTTGCGATGATCGGTTCCCTGCTTTGGGAACCGATTCTCGCTTCACGATGATCAAAAACAGCTGATCGTCGGGTTTCAAAATGGCCAACGGCTGAAGAAAATGGCCCTCCGCTGTGCTTAGGGACGGATTCCTCGCTGCACAGGCATGGAAAATGGCCGCCCCTATGGAGGATCTTCGCTGGACAGTGAATTTTCAGCCCACTGGAACGCATTGAACGGTTTTCAATGCATTTCAATGGGCTTTTTTATTTCGCTTTACGACATTTTCGTTCTACAGCGATTTCACTGGAATGAATTAACGTCGTCAAGCGAGGCACCACTGTACAAAGCTAATAAATAAATAAATGAATAAATACGCAAGAGCCTTCCCAGCTGAAACCCCCATATTTTGCCCCCCCTAAAAAGGGGGGAGAACCTGTTCTCACTTCTGCCGGCCTCCAGGAAGGGCTGATTTCAGCTTAGGGACCTTGGGAAGGTCCTCCGAGATCCAAACTTTGGGGGGAGGGTGGGAAGAAAAAAAAACCAGAAATGATAGGTGCTCATCCAAACAATTCTTGTTCTCCTCCCCCTCCTCCTCTTCTTGATTGTTCTGACCGTTTCCAGCTCTGGTGTTGCCGGTGGTTGGATCCGGGGGGGGGGGGACAAAAAACCTGGCGCCAATGTCCTAAGTGCTCCCCCCCCGCCCCAACATCTGTTTGAGGCAACCAGCATCTTCTCTGGAAAAGGAATGGAAGGTTCAGGGCAGGAGTTAAGAATGGCGGGGGGGGGGGCGGGGGGGGGGGGGGAAACCTGGCCCCAAGCCCACTAAGATCGCTCACCCTTAAGCTGGAAGGCGACGGGAAAGGGGCCCAGCGCCGGTGGAGAGCCTGGAGCGTTGCTGCCGGTCAGAGCCCAGCATTCCAGGCTAGAGGGAGCAACCGTTTGACCGGCTTATAGGGCAGATGCCACCTTTTTAAAACCTGGCCCTCTATGTTTTTTTTTTAAGAGGGAGGATCTTAGTCACGTCACCCTCTGAGAGACGATGATGCAGAAATCATCACAAACTGAACCTAACGGAAGAGATGTAACTCAGAAACAACAAGGCCCTGTATGGAGCAGGATCCTGCCTTTTTTTCCCACCCTCCTTCCAGAATGAGTCTCCAAAGTACACACCCCAACCTATAAGTCCCCCCCCTCCAAGTGGCGACTGATGGCTCCAACATCTGTGGAGTACGTAGCAAATGCGCTCCGGCTTTCCGTTCAGCCATCCTAGAAGCTATCCGAGGAAATGGAACCTCATTCTCCCAAATGAGGCGCCGGGATAACTCCTTTAGTTCGGACCAAAACCCAGAGCGCGTTCACCACTGACCTAACCACCCTCAACCCCCCCCACCCCCGGGTCACTTTTACTTCTCACTTTGCCTCCAATCATGACCGTCCGGGGCACAAAATGCTTGTTGGGCTCCCTCTTGATCCCTGCAATGGGGTGGGGGGTGGGGTGGGGGAGACACCACAACACACAGTCACGAGAAAGAAAAGGAGAGAGAAAGAAAGAAAGAGAGAGAGAGAAAAGGACAGGCTAAGATGACGTTCTCCAGGCCCACGAGGGTCTCACGCCGAATGCCAACCCCTTTTCTGAGCCATGAGCTAGTTCGGGGGGGGGGCGGCAAGAGAGCTATGCTATGACCACTGAAACTCTCCTTCTCCATTGGCGAAAGCCGAGGAAGCGTGTGGATTATTGGCTGAGCCTGCTCTCCTATATATTTTTATATATATTTTTTAACTGCATTTTACTTGTTCTGAATTTTTATTGTATTTTAAAT